ATGAAACGTTTTTCCCAAATTCTGTGCGTAGCCTTTTTGGTGGCGCAGGTAAGAGGCCAAAATTGCGTTGAGGAGGCGTTAAACTGCGATGACCCCGTTCCGACCATCTTTAAGTTGGGTGATCAATCGTGTGCTTGCAACAGTGCAGGTCATGCCGGAGCACTGAAATTCTTAAACAGCAAGGTACAAGTTTGCTTGGGAAACGAGTGGAAGACCTTTCAGTTTGTAGAGGACATCGAATACGGCACCGAGAAGAATCCTGGTTCATCCTGTAAAGATATCAAGGATAAAGCTGTTGGAAAACAGCTTAGCAATGGAGTCTTCTGGATCAAACTGCAAGGTATTGTTAAGATTTCAGATGATTTATTTTCTTTTCAGCCTCGAGTACAGTTCCCAACTATCTCTTTTAAAGGTTAAGGGCATTGAAATCTAGGGAATCGTAAAGTAAAATAATGCACTGATCAGTGTGATTTGTTCATAGGTTCATGCCTCATACCGCGTAAGGCCAACTCTCGAGCCTTTATTTGAGAGTTTCATGGGTATTTTAATCAATGGTACCTGTCTTACTGACTCTCTCATTTCGGTATCCTTTATTGCATAAGCACAAATCCAAAATTGGCTTTATAGATTTGTAAAGGCCATGTGTTTAGTATCGTTTAGTATCGGAGTAGTTGCGAGCTTACTCTTTATTGCTACCTACAATACACCTTAACGAGATTGACTCAGCAATTATTCAAGTTTTACTCTGAGGTTGTTTTTTAGGTTATTTAAGTTTTCGAGACTGCACTCTTTTCATGATTAACATTTAATCAAAAGGCATATTATTTTCAGCTCGAAGTTCATAAGTCGGGCAAAAGGTTTCAATATTGCATGACACATTTTTAGCGAGATACCTAAGATACACAACATTCCAAAAGCTTAATTATCATTCATCATCAGCGACTGAATCAACTTAGCAGGGTAATCAAACCTTTTTTTATCTTTTGTAATGGATGAATGAATGCATGTCCTCTAACGTATTCACTAGCGACCTATTTTTCACTTCCTTGGCATAATTTTTTTCCAATAGGCGTTTCGGGTGCTTTTCCAGTTTATTGCGACATGGACGCAGGAGGTAAGCGTATTCTTGTGGCACCGAATAAGTTCTATGTAAAATAATCAGTGATGAAAACTGAAGAAAACAATCGTAGAATCTTAAGGTTTTGTCAAATATCAGTGGGTTTCGTTAAAAATTTCTTAAAGTAGCGTTCACAAACAGCTATTACTTTGTTTATCGCATAGAACTGAATTGGCGAAAAAATTATTTTTCGCGTCATGCAGCTCTTTCAAAAAAAAACCAAAACAAAACAAATATTCATATTAGCGTGCCGCGAGGAACTCTGGAAAGTCTGACTTGCCCAACGGACTTCCGCTTTAGTCTGTTCCTTAGATCATGATACTTTTATAGACGGAGATAAAAATTATATGATTTCTGGAGGCTCAAGGTTCAGATTCAGTTTTCCAAACTTCGGGCAACCGGCCATATATTTCATGTTATTCATTACTAGGTTGGACCTTGGTATTCAAGGCAGTGAGTGGTGTTGATAAGAAGATCTGGGACACGTATAATTCGGCCCAGACCTCTTCCGAGTCAGTTGATGCTGCCCTTGATGTCACAAACAAGTTCAAAGATCACTACAAGAATAGAGTGGTGTTAAACTGGAGTAGCTTCAATCCATCTCAGGTTATGAAAGTCAAAATTTTACTTCAGGCTTAAACTTTGTAACAGGCTTAAATAGGATTCAAAACCATTGAGCCAATCTGCAGTACCCAAACATCCCCCTGACCTCGCCCAATAATCCTTCACGCATCAATGAAAGCTTTATTTTGACATTCACTTCAGTTTTGAATAACTGCAATGATCTTTTCTTGGAAAAGAGCTCGCCTTTCGGAATAGAAGATGTCTGCGTAAAAATATCTGAGCATACAATTGGAGGCTTTGGTGTATTTCTATAAAACTTCAAAATTAACATCCACGACACTCGAAGGTGCAATGCTATTCATACCTCCAAAATTTTATCACGATCCTGTTTAGCCCCAATTTTCGCTAAAACTTATATTTATTTTGACATTTCAATTAATCAAGTACTCTTAACCCCTAAATGATTTTTTTGAGAATTATAATTATGTATTTTTGAGACTTAAACTTCGTTCCACCTGTGGAATGATGAATTCGATTTGCCCCCCTCAGATAGCATTTTAGTCAAGTTTTTCACTTGCAGTTTTAAAAGTGTTTTTTTTTTTTTTCAATTCTGAACTGAAAGAAGGTCATTCATTCACCGGTTCATTCAATCAACTCTTCCATCCATCTGTTCATTCAATTTCGTTCATTCGCTCACTCACGTCATGCACTCGTATATTTCCCTCATTCTATTTTATTCATCCATTTATTCAGGCAAAAGTGGTCCTGTACACAGGTGCAGCCAGTCAAAAGGAACTCCTTTTTAACGCAGTTGGAACGGACAAACTGAATTGGTTCTCCGTGGGTAAACTTGTTTCCTCCTCATGGACTGATATCAAGAGCGAACCAAGGAACTACTTTTCAATTCGGGGAGGATGCGGTGGCGGAAATTGTCGGAGCTTTTTCATTAACCGGAACTATGGCGGGTGTGGGGTGGATGCTGGATGGCTGGTAACCCCTGGCGTGTGGTGCTCGTGGGAAACCAATGCTGACCACACCAAAAGAGTCTTGTACAGCAAGCTATCTACGTATACCGATTGGAATGTCAAAAGTAAGTACTCCAAAGTCATTCATTTATTGATTTTGTTTTAGCGTTTCTGATCATGTGACTTTTTCAGAGGAGCCCAGAAACTGGAGACATTTCAAACACAAAGGTTATCTAATTACGGGTTTCCTGTTGATGAAGGTTTTTCTTTTGAGCTTTATCAAAAGAGTCATACGGTTTTACTGAAAACAACGTGATTTAATGGCTTGTGCGAATTAGTATAACTCCTGTAAGACAACTTGGCTCCAACATCCTAAAGCATGCACACCATATCGCCATTACAACGTTCGCGCAGACGTTTGACCTCTGTGTGGGGCCAGAAGTTTTATATTAGAACTTTAAGGCGTCATGGACGGCGCGTTTACAAGCACAGAAACATTGCCGAACATTTTTGTACGATGAGATCGCGAAAACAGATCTGATCAACTTGATTGTGTTCGTATGAAGAAGCTTAAAAACGAGGGACCAAAAATGGAAAAATAGAATTCTTGCAATATTCATTTTCAGCTTAACTCCTCAGGTGATATAAGGAATGTGTGTTCCCTTAATGGTCATGGATTGGTTGATATCTTATGAGTCTATAACATCCATAGTAGTAACCCGTACAAGGTGATTACGATACCGAGGAAATACTTTCAAGAAAATGTTTTCTCCTCTTGTCACGAGTATGGAACGAAAGAAAAAATTTCTCGAGTCCACTACGAGAAATCGAAAACCAGACCTTAGGATTCCGCGCTCTAATGTTCTTTCACAATGAGCCTCAAAGTCAGGCCATCAGTAGCTTCATATCTGATACGCGTCCTGCGTACTGCTATAATTAGCAATCAAAATTTGCGCAGTGTAATTTCTTTTCGATCCTGAATAAGTAACGGAGGACGTTTTTACCTGCCGTAGGAAATCATCATAAGAAAATAGATCTGTTTCCGGACAAGAGAACATTTTTGAGCAACAGTTAAAGATGGCTGATAACTTAGAGTAACAATCACTCGTTCACCTCTTAAGTATTTTCGTTATTACCTGTCTTTAAGGATCTTAAGCAAACCACGACTGCGACGGCAACGAGGATGTATGAAAAACAAAAGATTTATTAGGCAGAACAATAGCTCAGCTCGTTCGTTTTAAAACTTTGTACATTTCCTAGCTTTTCTCGGAAAACAGCAACGTGAAATCACCAAAATATGCGTCTAAGGTCTAAGGTCTAAGGACAGAAATCTCGACGGCAGATTATTCAGGTTTCCAGTTGGAACTCAGCGCTTTTTGACATACGTTATGTTGAAGTTGGCGTGTGTCGCTGTAAGAGACGGTAAACAAATCCTTCCATTCGCGAAATTCTTGCCAAAAATATCAATTCATTTTTAATCGAGGTTTTCCTCGGCGTTGCTGTCCACCTCGCTTGCCAAAATGGTCCCTACTGTTAAGGAATGCTTTGTATCTCTCTCCCTTTTGAGTCTCCCCGTTTTCCTCAAATTGTTGGTCTCTGAAGACACCCAAACTGTTCTGAGAAAACAAACACTTAAAGAAATAAAAACTTTGAAATAATCACCCCAAAACCAGTTTCTGAACTAATACATATGTTTTCTCAATATCACCAGACAATGTAGGAGTTGCTGATGTACTGGCCGTTTTCCTGATGTGAGGTAAAGTAGCGCTTTGAAACATAAAAATGTCAACGTTGATTCATCCCTTTTTTTTTTTTACCAAAAATCCTTCTGGAAATTAAATATTCTTTTCATTTTCAGACTGATGGACAGTGAGACACAACAGTAAGGATTGATGACTTCAATAAAAGGAATTAAGAAATGAAATGTTTCAGTTTAATTTGTCGCGTTTTGTTCACGTTTTGAGAAATTCTCGCTCGAAGGTCGATGGTCATTCTGAATTGCAGAAGGGTTTTGCTGTTTTTCGCCAAGTCCCTGCTGTTTTCAGTTGTTCGCCTTTCGCTCTGAGCACAAAGAAAGAGTTTATATTATCTTGGGCAAACTGTAGCTTTTATTTTCATTTTTTGTTTTTCCATGTCCGCAACTTGTTGCCAAGCCCCTTTATGCCTTGAGAAAAAAATTAAGGCTCCAAACGCCTCTTTTTTTTATAACCATTGGCGGTGCATATATAATTTTGACTTTTAAGATTAACCTTGCCGTGTGAATTATTTGCTATGATTCGTCACGAGAACGTAAGGATATTGTGGCCATATTTTCGTGAACAAGGTGTGTTTCTTTTAGAGACGAGACCGACAAGAATCAGTAACGTAAATTAGCTGCGTATGCCCTTTTGGTCCTTCTCTTCCTTCCAAAAAATATTGAATTTCTTTATGGAGATAAATGATTGGTAACCTTCGTGACAAGATTCGGAGCGTCTGGGGAATTGGAGTTCATCCGTTTGCATGCGCGTCGCGCTTTTTAAATGCCTTTGATTTTGTGACGATAGGTTTTCCGCACTAACTGGAAATTGCGGGGAACGCAGCAATAACGGGGGAAAATAGTTCAGTAGAGAACACTTGCGACGTGAACTAGAATATTTGACGGTTTCCTGAAACACGGAGACTTGCTTCAAGCGAACTGCTACGGACGTCAAGGATTAGACAGCGTTTGATTGCACAGTAACTATATTTGAGTTCATGTCGTTCCCTCGCTTCCGTTTCACCGTCGGGGGAGGGTACGGCTACACGCGCATAGGCTAGCACAGCAGCAGCTGAAATGAATTGAACGTTAATTGAAGTCAATTAATCAGAGAGACGACAGCTCAGGTAAACAGTCGGTAATTCACCGGACGCAAGAGAAAAATCGACCTTGGTATTATCTCTTGGTATTAAAGTCTAAAGTCTAAGTTCAGTTACGAATTCAATTAATTCACATTAGTAGAAACTAATAAAGTTAGAGATTGAAAAAAAAATGGTCGATATTTGTAAAATGAAGGAGAAGCCAATTCTCCAAACTCGTTCAACGTTAACGCAATGGTCACGCACTGAAAGAATCGTTTTATCTTAAGTCAATATTGCGATTAAAAAAAGAAAAAAAAAAGCAAAAAAACAAATGGACAGTGGTCAAGTATGGTCTATACTCTTATTGACCGCGATATTCGTCATCACACTGGTCAAAATGTTGTAGACTTACGAGGCGCAGTCAATCAGATTGCGACATTACTGCCATTACGTAAAACTGTTAAATTGTTGAATAATCCCCGAGAAAAAGTCGAGGAGATTATTAATCACTGTTCATTGAGCCTGAGGCAACTAATTGTTTTAGTTTAATTGCTCAGGTGCTTCCGAATTCTGTTGTAAATTCTATAGATAAAGAAAGCATCGCGCATATTTTGTTGATTACCCATATCACGATAAACAGGCAGTTAAACAAGTTTACTTGATTCAATCAGCAAAAACTTCGCGTCTTACTTTGAAAAGTGCTTCTCCAAACTCAGAAGCATTTGAATTTTCTTCTAGCACGTTTTGCACTTCCTCGCAAGGCTGCCGTATTGAAATTTAGCGCCCCTGCTACAATCACCTCGCGAGAGGTGATCATTACGAGATATGACGCAGTCCTGAACTAATCACCCTAAGAAAAGCATGCACTTCATGCTTTTGTTACCTGGAAGAAATCGAGAAGATAACTGAGACTTTTAATCTTAACTTTTTTATTTAAACTTGGTATAAAGATGCTCTTTCATATTAGTCGAAATCTGTGTTTCATGCTAAGCATCACGTCTTGCAAGAATGATTGTCGATGAAAGTAGAGACATTTAAAAAGAAATGAACGCCTTGGGGCATCTGAGCCTATCTCTTCTCGATAATGATAGACCTAACGTTTCTCCGAGTTCTTACAATGTTAAATAGTTTCTACCTCTAATAAATACAAATTCTTTTTTATGCGAACATATCTTATAAGATAATTGAGAGATCGTAAAGTAGTGAGTAATGAAGACGCCAAGGAATTTACTGAAAAGGGGTTAAGCCCTTTAAACACGTCGAATATTCGAGTTCTTTCACTTCTGGGTTAATATGGTGATTTATGCTTGCTGGGCCATAAAAATTCCTGATAGAATAAGTTGAAAAAACAATTTCCTAATATTCTATTGAGTTTTTCAGTTTATCGGCTGGAAACTCACTCTCTCTCTCTTTCTTTTAAACTCAAAAAGATCCATAGTCAGGCTACAAATGAGACATCGACTAGTCAGGAATAAAAAGCAAACATGTAATCAGTTTATGAATAATGAATAACATGGAAAATTTTGGCCACTTGCCGTATATTCATGTATTTTACTTAGCTTGATCATGACAAATAAAAGATGATTGAAGCACATTTCGAGAAAGCTTTTACACTTTTGATGAAACCGTTGCAATGTTTCCTGATCAAACAAGTCTGTCTGTACTAAGCATGGTTAATGAATCATTATCATTTTTTTTTTGCAGCATTATTTGGAAATAAAACATTAATTTTCATTGTTGCAATGACACGACAAATCCTCTCAGATTATCGTAAGTGAGGGCGCCCATTTTCATGTTATGAATGATACATTCGAGCTGAGGTTGATTGAAGAGCAAGCATTGTTACTGAGTGTTAAGTAAAAATGTTGACAAATTGCGTCATTTTTTGAAGGTGATCACTACAAATCAAGGATAATTAAAGTACATTTTGTGAGCAGATTATCTACTGTTAAAAAGTTAATTTGTTTCGTGCCGACCCGAGTTTTGCTAATTCAAACAGGTCTATATCAAACACATATGTCTCGTTATCGAATTTCTGGCAACGTTAGTTGAAAACAAAAAATTGTGTCTCTATTGTTTTAAACTATGATATGACAAATCATCTCATATACCATCCTAAGCTTGTAAAAGCCTTTTCTGGTTAAGAAACTCAACACGTATGTTTTCAGCCTCGAGTCCGATTTTTATTTGGACTAAAGCTGTGTGATTTCAGCCTCGAGTCTAATTCTAACTTGGACTAAAGCTGTTTAAACACAGCTGTGTACGTCATGAATACTACATTCGGTCTAAAATTGTGCGTTTTTCCCTGCTAGATCATTGTGCTGAAGTGAATCCTGTAAGTCACCCTTGTGTTGAACCGCAATGAAACTTTTTTCCCAAATTCTGTGCGTAGCCTTTTTGGTGGCGCAGGTAAGAGGCCAAAATTGCGTTGAGGAGACGTTAAACTGCGATGACCCCGTTCCGACCATCTTTAAGTTGGGTGATCAATCGTGTGCTTGCAACAGCGCAGGTCATGCCGGAGCACTGCAATTCTTAAACGGCAAGGTACAAGTTTGCTTGGGAAACGAGTGGAAGACCTTTCAGTTTGTAGAGGACATCGAATACGGCACCGAGAAGAATCCTGGTTCATCCTGTAAAGATATCAAGGATAAAGCTGTTGGAAAACAGCTTAGCAATGGAGTCTTCTGGATCAAACTGCAAGGTATTGTCAAGATTTCAGATTTATTGTCCTTTCAGCCTCGAGTACAGGTCCCAACTATCTCTTTTAAAGGTTAAGGGCATTGAAATCTAGGGAATCTTAAAATAAAATAATACACTGATCAGTGTGATTTGTTCATAGGTTCATGCCCCATATCGCGTAAGGCTAACTCTCGAGCCTTCATTTGAGAGTTTCTTGGGTATTTGAACAAATAGTACCTGTCTTACTGACTCTCTCATTTCGGTATCCTTTATTGCATAAGCACAAATCCAAAATTGGCTTTTCAGATTTGTAAAGGCCATGCGTTTAGTATCGTTTTGTATCGGAGCAGTTGCTAGCTCACTCTTTATTGCTGCGTACTATACACCTTGGCGAGATTGACTCAGCAATTATTCAAGTTTTACTCTGAGGTTGTTTTTTATGTTATTTAAGTTTTCGAGACTGCACTCTTTTCATGATTAAGCATTTAATCAAAAGGCATCTTATTTTTAGCTCGAAGTTCATAAGTCGTGCAAAAAGTTTACTGCTTGACACATTTTGAGCGAGATACCTAAGATACGTAACACTCCAAAAGCATAATTATCATTCATTATCATTCATCATCAGCGACTGAATCAACTTAGCTGCATTGTTAGAGAGTAATCAAACAATTTTTTATCTGTTGTAATGAATGCATGAGCTCGAACGTATTCTCTAGCGCATTCACTAGCGACCTATTTTTCACTTCCTTGGCATAATTTTTTTCCAATAGGCGTTTCGGGTGCTTTTCCAGTTTATTGCGACATGGACGCAGGAGGTAAGCGTATTCTTGTGGCACCGAATAAGTTCTATGTAAAATAATCGGTGATGAAAACTGAAGAAAACAATCGTAGAATCTTAAGGTTTTGTCAAATATCAGTGGGTTTCGTTAAAAATTTCTCAACGTAGCGTTCACAAACAGCTATTACTTTGTTTATCGCAAAGAACTGAATTGGCGAAAAAATTATTTTTCGCGTCATGCAGCTCTTAAAAAAAAAACCAAAACAAAACAAACATTCATATTAGCGTGCCGCGAGGAACTCTGAAAAGTCTGACTTGCCCAACGGACTTCCGCTTTAGTCTGTTCCTTAGATCATGATACTTTTATAGACGGAGATAAAAATCATATGATTTCTGGAGGTTCAAGGTTCAGATTCAGTTTTCCAAACTTCGGGAAACCGGCCATATATTTCATGTTATTCATTACTAGGTTGGACCTTGGTATTCAAGGCAGTGAGTGGTGTTGATAAGAAGATCTGGGATACGTATAACTCGGCCAAGACCTCTTCCGAGTCAGTTGATGCTGCCCTTGATGTCACAAACCAGTTCAAAGATCACTACAAGAATAGAGTGGTGTTAAACTGGGGTAGCTTCAATCCATCTCAGGTTATGAAAGTCAAAATTTTACTTCAGGCTTAAACTTTGTAACAGGCTTAAATAGGATTCAAAACCATTGAGCCAAAACCATTGAGCCAATAATCCTTCACGCATCAATGAAAGCTTTATTTTGACATTCACTTCAGTTTTGAATAACTGCAATGATCTTTTCTTGGAAAAGAGCTCGCCTTTCGGAATAGAAGATGTCTGCGTAAAAATATCTGAGCATACCATTGGAGGCTTTGGTGTATTTCTATAAAACTTCAAAATTAACATCCACGACACTCGAAGGCGCAATGCTATTCATACCTCCAAAATTTTATCACGAACCTGTTTAGCCCCAATTTTCGTTAAAACTTTTATTTATTTTGACATTTCAATTAATCAAGTACTCTTAACCCCTAAATGATTTTTTTGAGAATTATCATTATGTATTTTTTGAAGCTTAAACTTCGTTCCACCTGTGGAATGATGAATTCGATTTGCCCCCCTCAGATAGCATTTTAGACAAGTTTTTCACTTGCAGTTTTAAAAGTGTTCTTTTTTTTTTTCAATTCTGAACTGGAAGAAGGTCATTCATTCACCGGTTCATTCAATCAACTCTTCCATCCATCTGTTCATTCAATTTCATTCATTCGCTCACTCACGTCATGCACTCGTTTATTTCCCTCATTCTATTTCATTCATCCATTTATTCAGGCAAAAGTGGTCCTGTACACGGGTGCAGCCAGTCAAAAGGAACTCCTTTTTAACGCAGTTGGAACGGACAAACTGAATTGGTTTTCCGTGAATAAACTTGTTTCCTCCTCATGGACTGATATCAAGAGCGAACGAAGGAACTACTTTTCAATTCAGGGAGGATGCAGTGGCGGAAATTGTCGGAGCTTTTTCATTAACCGGAACTATGGCGGGTGTGGGGTGGATGCTGGATGGCTAGTAACCGCTGGCGTGTGGTGCTCGTGGGAAACCAATGCTGACCACACGAAAAGAGTCTTGTACAGCAAGCTATCTACATATACCGATTGGAATGTTAAAAGTAAGGACTCCAAAGTCATTTATTTATTGATTTTTTTAGCGTGTCTGATCATGAGACTTTTTCAGAGGAGCCCAGAAACTGGAGACATTTCAAACACAAAGGTTATCTAATTACGGGTTTCCTGTTGATGAAGGTTTTTCTTTTGAGCTTTATCAAAAGAGTCACACGGATTTAATGAAAACAACGTGATTTAATGGCTTTTGCGAATTAGTATAACTCCTGTAAGACAACTTGGCTCCAACAGCCTAAAGCATGTACACCATATCGCCATTACAACGTTCGCGCAGACGTTTGACCTCTGTGTGGGGCCATAAGTTTCATATTAGAACTTTAGGGCGTCATGGACGGCGAGTTTACAAGCACAGAAACACTGCCGAACATTTTTGTACGATGAGATCGCGAAAACAGATCTGATCAACTTGATTGTGTTCGTATGAAGAAGCTTAAAAACGAGGGACCAAAAATGGAACAATAGAATTCTTGCAATATTCATTTTCAGCTTAACTCCTCAGGTGATAAAAGGAATGTGTGTTCCCTTAATGGTCATGGATTGGTTGATATCTTATGAGTCTATAGCATCCATAGTAGTAACCTGTACAAGGTGATTACGATACCGAAGAAATACTTTCAAGAAAATTTTTTCTCCTCTTGTCACGAGTATGGAACGAAAGAAAAAATTTCTTGAGTCCACTACGAGAAATCGAAACCCAGACCTTAGGATTCCGCGCTCCAATGTTCTTTCACAATGGGCCTCCAAGTCAGGCCACTAGTAGCTTCATATCTGATACACGTCCTGCGCACTGCTATAATTAGCAATCAAAATTTGCACAGTGTAATTTCTTTTCGATCCTGAGTAACGGAGGACGTTTTTACCTGCCGTAGGAAATCATCATAAGAAAATAGATCTATTTCCGGAGAAGAGAACATTTTTGAGCAACAGTTAAAGATGGCTGATAACTTAGAGTAACAATCACTCGTTCACCTCTTAAGTATTTTCGTTATTGCCTGTCTTTAAGGATCTTAAGCAAACCACGACTGCGACGGCAACGAGGATGTATGAAAAACAAAAGATTTATTAGGCAGAACAATAGTTCAGCTCGTTCGTTTTAAAACTTTGTACATTTCCTAGCATTTCTCTGGAAAACAGCAATGTGAAATCACCAAAATATGCGTCTAAGGTCTAAGGACAGAAATCTCGACGGCAGATTATTCAAGTTTCCAGTTGGAACTCAGCGCTTTTTGACATACGTTATGTTGAAGTTGGCGTGTGTCGCTGTAAGAGACGGTAAACAAATCCAGCCATTCGCGAAATTCTTGCCAAAAATATAAATTCATTTTTAATCGAAGTTTTCCTCGGCGTTGCTGTCCACCTCGCTTGCCAAAATGGTCCCTACTGTTAAGGAATGGTTTTTATCTCTGTCCCTTTTGAGTCTCCCCGTTTTCCTCAAATTGTTGGTCTCTGAACACACCGAAACTGTTCTGAGAAAACAAACACTTAAAAAAATAAAAACTTTGAAATAATCACCCCAAAACCAGTTTCTGAACTAATACATATGTTTTCTCAATATCACCAGACAATGTAGGAGTTGCTGATGTACTGGCCGTTTTCCTGATGTGAGGTAAAGTAGCGCTTTGAAACATAAAAATGTCAACGTTGATTCATCCCTTTTTTTTTTTACCAAAAATCCTTCTGGAAATTAAATTTTCTTTTCTTTTTCAGACTGATGGACAGTGAGACACAACAGTAAGGATTGATGACTTCAATAAAAGGAATTAAGAAACGAAATGTTTCAGTTTAATTTGTCGCGTTTTGTTCACTTTTTGAGAAATTCTCGCTCCAAGGTCGATAGTCATTCAGAATTGCAGAAGGGTTTTGCTGTTTTTCGCCAAGTCCCTGCTGTTTTCAGTTGTTCGCCTTTCGCTCTGAGCACAAAGAAAGAGTTTATATTATCTTGGGCAAACTGTAGCTTTTATTTTCATTTTTTGTTTTTCCACGTCCGCAACCTGTTGCTAAGCTCCTTTATGCCTTTAGAAAAAAAATTAAGGCTCCAAACGCCTCTTTTTTTTAATAACTATTGGCGGTGCATATATAATTTTGACTTTTAAGATTAACCTTGCCGTGTGAGTTATTTGCTATGATTCGTCACGAGAACACAAGGACATTGTGGGCATATTTTCATGAACAAACTGTGTTTCTTTCAGAGACGAGACTGACAAAAATCAGTAACGTAAAATAGCTGCGTACGCCCTTTTGGTCCTTCTCTTCCTTCCAAAAAATATTGAATTTCTTTATAGAGGGAAATGATTGGTAACCTTCGTGACAAGATTCGGAGCGTTTGGGGAATTGGAGTACATCCGTTTGCATGCGCGTCGCGCTTTTTAAGTGCCTTTGATTTTGTGACGATAGGTTTTCCGCACTAACTGGAAGTTGCGGGAAACGCAGCAATAACGGGGGAAAATAGTTCAGTAGAGACCACTTGCAACGGGAACTGAAATTCGTCACGGTTTCCTGAAACACGGAGACTTGCAAACTGCTACGGACGTCAAGGATTAGACAGCGTTTGATTTCACAGTAACTATATTTGAGTTCATGTCGTTCCCTCGCTTCCGTTTCACCATCGGGGGAGGGTACAGCTACACGCGCATAGGCTAGCACAGCAGCAGCTGAAATGAATTGAACGTTAATTGAAGTCAATTAATCAGAGAGACGACAGCTCAGGTAAACAGTGGGTAATTCACCGGACGCAAGAGAAAAATCGACCTTGGTATTATGTCTTGGTATTAAAGTCTAAGTTACAAATTTAAAATCAGTTTAAAAGTAATTATATAACTCTGTCGATGAGAGTTCCTTCATCCCCTGCTGATTGAGTCAGCAGGTTTCTGCATTTTGTCTAATGAAAACTAAAAGTTAACAACGGAGTAATTAGCATTGCAATACTTGCTGCCTTAATCCAGCAAGGTGGTTATCATCTTTGCTATACAAATAAAAAATAAATAACGAATTTATTTCATGTTCATGCAAAAGGAAAGCCGGCTGACATATTTGGTGTTGGAAAAAAATTAAAAAACGCACGAGGGACCTGTACTTTCAAAGCATAGAACCTGTAGCCGACAATTCGAAATGGGTTTTATGCGTTAATTGATCTTTCAACAAATTCCAACCGCGCAAAACACTGAACACAAACTCGCGTGACACTAAAAACAAAGGCAAATGCCCTAATCAGACATTTATACCAAAAATATTAAACGAAAAAAAACAAGACACCGAACGAATCGTGCTGTTGTTGATTCTTCGTTCGCATTCGCATTCCTGAAAGTAGTTTACAGGTGAACTACGACGGCGAAGGCAAAGTAAGTAAATATATGTTATTTGCCGGCTGGGAGGTCCGTATGGTGAAAAACTGTGACCGAGGTCTTGAAAATACTGCCCGAGGCCGTAGGCCGTAGGCCGACCCTTCCTTTATTGTTTATTTATTGTTTTTAAACTTGACGAAATTCTTTCCGAAAGAACCCGAATGATTTAGGGCTGTAAATACGGTAAGATCTTCCATAAACTGAACAATTTTTGAGTGAGTAAATGGTAGTTAAAATAGAGGTGATGCAAATTAAAGAGAGATGCCTCAGCGAAACATTTTCATTTCCGTAACGATAAAGGTGATTTAAAAGGCTTCCAAACAAACTTTGAAACATTATTTTTACAAGTATCTGTCACAATCTGACACCTGTCAATTAGAGAGCGCGTAAGAAAAAAAAAGCATAGGAGCATTTGAAAACCAACAGAACTAGTTTGGCAAGGGCTGTCACGACAACGTTTTCTTCAAAATCAGTCAATAATCTAACGGAAAGTATTATTCACTCTCATCGACCATTCATTCATGTACGAATATTTACCTCTGTTCATTAAGTAAACGGCGAGGAAAGTAATTGTGAGCAAATTCAATTTTTTTACTTTGAAGTTGTGAGAGTTTACTCGTTTGTTTGCTGCAATGGCGTGTGTGACTCTGGTCTTTCCTTCACAAAAACTAAATTCGAACGGCACACTCCAACGAGACACAAGGGAATTTAATGCGGCCTTTTCTCAAAAAATTCCTTCAATTTCTGTTGTGCAATTTACGGTACAAATGTCTGAATTGAACGGAATTGGAAAGACTCACCGGGAGCCTATATTTGTTGTAGAACTTAAATTAAAACTTCGCTCGCTCTTTCACTACGAACAAATTGCTCGAGAAAATTCAGATATTAAATGAATGAAAGTTCCATCGTTCAGTTTAACTGTAACCAAATACTTCACGTTTCAACTTTCTGGGTACTTTTTGTGAACGATTAAAATTAATTGCAGACGGTTTTTAGGCCGCTTGTCAACCAACGTAATGACACTATTGTTTATTCAAATTGATTCTGAAACCAATATTTTTCTGTCAACCAAAGCGATTTGATAGAGAGAAAGGAGAGGATTCATAAGTTATTTATCGGCTTGAGATAGTGACCGACGTGTTTGCTTAAAAATACTGCCCAGCCGGAAAACGAGGTATATTTATGAAAAAATGACAACGAAAGTTGAGATGTACTCGGCGACTCACGAAAGCGTTACCGTGGCCCGTGGGCAGATATGAAAATACCGAGAGGGTAAAGAACCAATCAGATTGCAGGATTCGTTACCGTGCCCTCTAAAAAAGCAATAAAACAAAATATTTAACGAGCAGAACAAAAGCTTAGCACGCGCGTTCTTAAATGCTGTTCATGTTCCGTGCAAAACTGAAGCGTAAAATTATCAAATTTGAGTAGTAAGTGAAAAGAAACCACAACTGGTCCAATTGGCAAAATACGCTTCACGCAAATATTTCAGCGGATCCCGAGGTGAATAAAATTGTCTAGCTAAGGTACAATTTTCACCCAGAGGAATTCTAAAAATAACAAAAATAGCAATTCAATATAAAAAGGTAGGATAATTTCATTTCACTAATTCTGCTTTTACTAATAACGAGTGTTAAAAATATGAACTGTTTGCAAACGAATAACCCGTGCGTTTTAAGAGAGCACTTTATTGGCATTTATCTTTGCCTCATTTAATTAGTTTTAATTAGTTTTTATTTTGTACAGGATCGTTCTTTACATTTTTGGTGAACATACCTTGTTTCTTGGAAATAACATATAGCTTCCTTTACAGAACCTTGTAGGGGGTTGTTGTATTTGATTGACAAAGTCTTCTGGTGTTGGTTTGTATGAAAACTCAATAGCAAAGCGATAATCGTTCATTAGAAGTTCTTCGCCGAGAATTCAGTCGGAGCACACCCAAGGTAGGTTTCATTCCGTTTCTGAGGAGATTCACCTTAAAAAAGAGACCAAGCTCTGAGACAAATTAGTGCTCTCCCTTCTCTCGAAACTCTCTTTAACTAATATAATTTGCTGAAGATTTTTTTTTTAAAAATTACCCTTTCCTTGTCCTAAAGGTTTGCCCTCCCCACATGGAGATGCCGATCGAGTTTTTCCCACCACGTTTAGATTAGCTTCATGTTTACAGTTAGTTTGCTGTTCGGTCAGAACTTTCACATATTGTCTACCAGATTAATGAATTTTCAGACTCTGAAACTAGATGTCGTCAGTTGTCCACGCATTCACAAAGGGACTTCGCTTTACTGTTTTCGCGTATATATTTTGAATAGGCTGCCTTGCGAGTTTCCCCTCAATGATCCAAAAAAAGAACTTAATCTTGCTGAAGTACATGTGTAACAAAGCCTCTCTGTCTCTCGATACTCTTAAATTTTCCGATAACAACGTTAATTGCACATTGTTGCATCACTGGTGATGGACAAATTTACACCCATTTGGGAAATTTCCGTGGACAATGAACATGCAGGGGTGGAAATTTTTTGAACTTTAAGCTTGCTTAATGCATCACTTTGCTACAGTAAATTCTGCATTTTTGTACTCCTATAACTAGAGTTTCTGAGGATTTGAAAATCCCATATTGATAAACAACTCGGTGTTCCACCAGAGCACAAATTCATCTTCGTATTAAACACCTTCTGCTCTCTCTTCAGATAAACCGTCAACATGAGATATCTGGTCGTTCTGGGCCTTATCTTGATCAGCACCGTGCTTTTCACATCGGCTGGCAAGAAATACAAATGTGGTCCCATTGTTAAGAAACACAACTGCGAGTGCAAAGCCAAATCAGCGGGCCAATTGAAACTTGAAGATGGGAAATTGCTGATGTGTGATGGCAGTGAATATAAACCTCTGCAGTTTGAAATGCCTACTCCCAAAAATTCAAGGGCGAATCCAGCTTATTCGTGTAAGGAAATCATGGAGGAAGACGCCGCAGCCGACGATGGAATTTACTGGCTTACGTTCAAGAGTAAGATCAAAAATATTTTTAACTTTAATTTCTGCAAGCTTTTTAAGTAAACTCTCTTTGTTATGTAGAGAGGGCGAATGGTAAAATTCAAGTATCGTCAAAACGCCCTGACCTCGGTTTGAAAGTTCGAGAATAAATAATGTTGGCTGAACAACTTTTCATCGTTTAATAACCTCGACCCACTCAGAAATATTTTTCACGTATTATAAATCGCTGTTTAGATTGTCAGACCTCTCTTTCGAGTTTGTCTTGGCAATAGATCTCTGATTAAAAATTGCAATATTTTCCAACGGCATGGATGGTATAGAGACTTTCCACATCCACAACCATAACCCTAAAAAACTTCAGCTTCCCTGTGAAACTTTGAGCCTCATCGCAAAGGTTGACGCGATTTCACGTCTGGATAAAACATTTGCAAGACCCAAGACCGATCAAGTTTCTAGGTAACATTCGCCACAGTTGTACCAATGGCTTATCATAGGTCTATCCTCGCTTGGAACAAATTTGCCAACGGACGCTCACTGAAAGGGTGAATTCATTTCACAATTTTGAACGCAGGAGTTTCACCTTTGATTGTTTCTGATTGATTAAAAACTCTTTGTTTTACAATTCATCCTTCAAACAGTGGGGTGTAAGTACAATATAAGTTTTAAATCAGTTAGGAATGAAGCTCACCAGCGGTACCAAGTTTTTATAAAATTTTCGTTTCATATCCAGGTGATCCCAGTGTTTTTCCAGTTTACTGTGACATGTCTAATGGAGGTGAGTTTAAAATTAGTTTGAGTTTAGCTTGATTTGATCAAAAGAAGAGTGTCATGTCCTGACACTTGAGCATCTGTTTCAAGCCTTTAGACGATTTTGCATTTCTACAGTTTGCTAGTGCTTCTTTCACACTCCTTTTCTTTTATTTTAAAAATAACGATCTTGCAGTTTGCGTTGTAAGGTCAAACTGATGTTTTAACATCTGGAAAATTTTCTTCATTTCTTCAGCGTTATTCCTTATGATTGAGGGTAGAACACAATATTGAAATGTTGCTAAATAGGCAATTACATTCCTTAATGGGATTCTGCGGGCAAGCTTCTGGCATGACAGGTTATGGTATGCAAGTTATACGGTCTTCAAAAAAAATCTTTAGGAGTATTAAAAAAAAGAAAAACCTAATTATAAAAAATGCTTTATATCGAGGTAAGAACAGAAGGAGAATAGTTCTTAGGAAGCACTGGTCGGCAATTCAATTTGTTTGTTAAAAATGAAAAAATAGCATTTTCATTTTGTTACTGTGTAATTTGGGTTTGTTACCGTGGTACTGAAATACCCATGACTGTAATATGTAGACTAATTTCATTTATTGCCTGTTCTCCTGTTTTCACAAGGATGGACCATGATATTCAAGGCGGTGTCCGGGGCGAAGGAAAGTGCTTTCAACACTTTCAATTCGGGTGAAACTCTCGCTGAGAATGACATGAGCGCTCTCGACGTCACTAACCAGCACCTTGGCGACTACAAAAGCAGGATAATCCTGAAGTGGGCTGAGTTTGCTGCATCTGAGGTAACAAGGGTGTTAGTAACGTTAAATGTGAGGGCCATAAGACACCTTGAGGTGCATAGGTCTGTCATGTACCCGTTGGGTGATAAAAGTCAGTTGTAAGAGGAGCGCTTCTCTAGCTTCTCGCACACGTCTCACATGCAGGCAGAGGTACTCATGACATGGTATGACACGCACCGGAAATCACGATGAACCGGATTAAACTCAGCCGTAACGGTAGCCAAACAAGATATAATTTACACAGGGTTCATTGGGCAGAAGTTCTTTAAAGGAAACTAGGAGCGATAATTATCTATTCTGCGTTTACAGGCCAAAGTTGTCCTTTACGAAGACGGGAGCGCTGTTAAGAAGCTTTTCTTCGACGCCACGGGAACGAACAAATTGAACTGGTTTTCAAAGGACAAATTGAAGGAGCCCTTGCCATGGGAAAATGTGAAATCAGAGGAACAGAACTCCTTTTCCATCCAAGGATTGACCAATCGGAACTTCTTCATTAACAGGAATTATGGTGGCTGCCATGTTGATGCCGGCTGGCTGTGTATTACCTCAACTCCTTGTGAATGGGAAAAGCGTTATGGAGTAAACGCTGTGTTGTACAGCACGTTGGCTACACACACCAACTGGAACACTGAAGGTGAGTATATTGACGTTACGAATTAACTCCCAGCCTAGGAAGAGGAAACTGAACAAGACCGCCACGCTTTTCCTTTGATAAAACTAAAATGCAAAGCTGATGAGGCTAAGAGAGGGAGAAGAATTTTTACTGAGCCTTCGCTTTCTGCTCAGCATTGATTATTGATTGTCAGTGGGCCTTACTTGAATCCCTTCATATATTAGGGCGCTTTGGAATGAGTGTTGTGATACCAAAACCAACGTTATTACAACAGCCAATCAGTTGATGAGTAAATATTACAAGAAGCCAATGAAAGTAACAACTAGCAAACGGTTTGAAGCGCGAAAAAACGCGGCTGGCCAAATCACCATTGGTTTTAATTGAAATCTTATTGGTTGAAAATTAATGTGGCAGATTTTTCTTTTGGACCAATCATGTACAGCAAAGAAAAGGAAATCCAAACCAATCCTGAATTTCTCTAGACACTTTGTGAAAAGTTGTTCTATCTTAGAAAAATTGAGAATTTAATTCTAACTTGTGTCGTCGTAGTTCAGCTGGAAGCAGCGTCCAAACAGTATCTGAATGCTGCGGATCCAAGCCCCATCGAGGCTTCAGCTTTTCGAGAGTTGATTTTTGCATTTTATTAAATTGCTAATTACTTTGGAGCATCGTACACCTAATTGAAACCTAATGAAAACCTAATGACTCCTATTGTGGAGCAAATATATAAAACAGGCCACACCTTTTTTAGGATAGGGACCTTCCTTTCTTGTTCCTAAACAGTTTTTGTGTTCATTACTGGGAAGATCACTCTCATATTCAATGAAATAACGTTGTTGAAAAAAACGAAAATAGAAAAGGCAAAAGAAAAGTAGGAGGTGATTGGCACATAAAAGTACTGGCTGTGACCATAATCAACAGGAAAAATTTCACAGAATTTCCTATGAAAAATTCTCTCAGACTTCTGGAGCGTGTCAGATGTCTGTTTGGAAATTTACAGTGGTTCCAAGAAGGCAGAAAATAAAAATCATATGCTAATACCATATGACTATGCTAATTAATTTGAATTTGGCTTTTTTCTTTTTTCCTCTAATCTCCCTGTTATTGCAATCAGGGATATAACTTTTCAATAAAAATTGATTTGATGAATTAAAAAATAATGATCATAAGAGTTTTAGTTACAATCATAATAATGATGTGAATTCCGCAGCATTTTGACTGGTTTTCTGAAAACTGAGATCCTCTTTTTTCCTGTCACTTTTCAGCTAACGTTGCTAAGGCAGATGTTCTGGCGGTTTTCTTGCGCTAAGGTAAAAATTGAAATAAAACGTCCCTGTAATTTATTCCCTGTGTGAGATGAAAAGTATAATGTGTTAAATAAACAGCTTTGGTGGAGCAAGTACTCAAATTAGGTCACACACTCTCCTAAGGAGGAGACCTCCCATTCTTGTTCCTAAATGGTGTTTGTGTTCTTGGCTAAGACACGTTACTCACCTAGTGTCTCTCTCTCCCTCACAAGAATATAAATTAGTTCAATTAGACTTTCAGGAAAACCTGACAAAATACAAGGGAGGGGGACAGGGTAGAGGCCAGGGAGGCAACCTGGGATGGACAAGTATCCCATCCAAGGGGTGTGGGTGTGGCTAAACTTCAATGCACCTCCTACTTCCAAAACTGGGATAAGTTGAGAGACTGTTATTAACCCTTGTAATGTACTTTACCTTTATTCCTTGGGGTAGGTATAGAGTGGGAGCTTAAAACTCCTAAACTGGATTGAAGAACATTTAAACAAATGCAATTTCCGATGTAAAACTTTAGTGGACAGAATGTATGTCTGAAACAGCTAAAAATGGAGATTGTGTAAAAGGCATGAAACAACCTACAATTGTCCCTCAATATTAAATGCTGGAAATCACCCATCCCAGGACCTAAATTTCAAAATTTCCCAGGGGGGGGGGGAACACCCCTGACCCCCGTGCCCTCAGCAGACATTTATCGGGACCCCCATTTACTATATCTGGGATCTGCCCCAGAACTCTACTTCACCAGAAGCCTTGAACAAAGAATGGCCTTTTCATTTCCTAGGTAATGTGTATTTTCTAAAAATTGTTGTTAAATTTAATTCTTTAATGCTCATCTTAACATGCTATGTGTGGTAAGTCAAAATGTACCACATTTTTTACAATCTGTTACTTTAGACAATAATTTGAGTTTAGCCTAATAAACGATGAGTGACAAAAAGCCTTCAACACTAAATAAACTGCCCAACTTTTTATTTCAGAGCTGACTGCCACTGAATATGTACAACATCAGATGGCAGAAAATCGAGGCAGTAGATTACTTGCTTTTTCCGCAGGGTTTCTTGTGAAGGGATTCGCTGATGAACCAAGCTAATAGGCGGAGATTTGAAGTCTCTTGCCCTTACTACAGCTTAGAAAAAATATGGCCTCGAATTTAAATCCAATAAAACAGTATGTTAATTTGAGGAGCTGTATCAGTTTCTGACTTTATAATTTCCCTTATCTTAAAGTTGCACTTGCACATAATTTGAAAGCCAGCATAAGGAGAACTTGTCTAAAAACTTAAAGTTGCACTCATGCCAAATTTGAAAGCCAGTGTAAGGAGACCGTGTCTGACCTGAAGTGATACATTTTGGTCAAGTCAGCCTACAGACAAGAAGGCCAATTTTGCCAGTGGTGCCAGAGGAGAAACCACCACTTTTTTTTTTATTCTTACTCCCTCTTGGATGGTATGCCAGGACATGCAAGGTCATCTCCCCACCACCACCCCCCACCCTTTCCCAACCCAACAGCAATTTGCCATCTTTCCTTGAAAGGCTTCCATTCATAATTTTTGACATTTCTGCCTCTGAACAGAGGAATAGACTTTGAGAGTAAAGAAAAATAACAAAATGGTCCAGCTAGGACAAGAACTAGGGCTCCTTGATACATGGTCAGGGGCAACAATCACTGGAACACTATATCCTGAGGCATTTAGGTGCTAAAGAAGTTGAAAGTCTACTTCAAAATCCAAGCTGACAAAACAGAACATTTGCATGGCATGGCAATAAGTCACAAATGTAAAAATGATGGTTAAAATATCTGCTAATGTTTCAGCTCTTGTAAAACTGCTGAATCACACATTAAGATAATGAGAATAAAGGAAATGATCATTAATTAGAAAAGTCTGTGATTGTTTACAAATTCTCCTTGTCAACTTATTAGGAAATGTAGAGAGAACAGTATGGAGAATATTGATATCCATGTTAGGGTGTAAATGATTGAGTGGGATAAATGCCTCACAAAAACACAACTGAATTACCTGCCTTAGAACAACACAGTATCAAATGACAGAAACAATTTAATTGCCAAAAGGTCTGGATAGAAGCAGATATGTAACAAATTTAAGAAAATGAATGACACTTTTTAAAGACATGTTTTGACAGTTCTTCTGTCATCCTCAGTTCTGAATAATACAAAGTAAAGTTGAATTTATAGTGTGTTTTGTCCAATCAGCATTTTGTTAAATTCAACTTTGTACTTTGTATTATTCAAAACCAAAGATGACAGAAGAACTGTCGAAACATGTTTTTAAAAAGTGTCGTTCATTTTCTTCAATAATTTAATCTTTGAAATAACTCTCCTTTTTTCAAACAGCTTCAGTTTTCCCAAATAAATAAATTTAACCTGATACCTGACTTTTGAAACAGCTAAGGCTATAGCAGTTTTCAATTAAAATCCCTTTCTTCAGAAGTAAACTCTCCACCCAGTGCTTCAGCCAAAGCAAATTGAGGAATTTCTGAACCCTGAACTTTCAAAGTGTAACAAGCGACTTCCACCTTATTCATACTGGCCTTCAATACTCTCAATTTTGAGGAAATCTCCCTAGAAACATTCCCGAACGCCACGAAAGCGTTGTGAATTTCCCGCAGAAAGCTGCACACCTCAAAAGGAGTGTTTTAGTCCCCGCTCGACGCACTGTTTATGCCGAAACGCATGAGCTCTCCCGTCAGATCCGCGATTCCAAGTACACAGTCGAACGGATTTAAGCTTAAGCCAAGATCTTTACCATCCTCATTTGAAAATTTCAACTCCGCTTCAACTTGGTCGAAAGAAATCAAAGTTTTCCTCTTGAGAAAATGCGCGAAAGACAATGCTTCGATGTATTCCTGCACATCTTCCTTCGTTGTTTCACGATTTCCGCCATGTTGAAAATCTGGAAAAGGAGATAGATGCGCAACGTTGATTGGCTCTTTATTTAGGGAACTAAACCAATTAAGTACAGCCTTATAAGAGAGCTCATGGATCTTTGGAGGGAAAATGGCGGCAGATTTGAAATTTATCTAGGCGCCCAAATGAGCCTTGTTTTAACATTATTTATCGATTCCAAAGGTCGTGCGTCACAATAATTCATGAAAACATAAATCCAATTCACCCAATATGAGCTCCTGGAGAGCAAGAGGTAACTTCTGGAGAGGAAGAGGACAGAGGTTCCGAGGAGGAAAGAGTGCTAGAGGAACGAGCCAGATAGGAAGAGGTGAAATTGATGGAAATTTCTGTGTTCCACGCTTGTGACTTGGCGAAAAAATTTGTTAGTAATTTCATGAAATTATCGCTTTAGCACAAAGGGGCTCAGACCAAGGAAGTTCAAGTCCTCAAGTGGAACATCAAAGAGCACGGCAAATACAGACAAGCTTAACGCCGTGTCCCTTCAAGAAATGGAATTTTTACTTCCCAGACATTGGTGAGTCGGTAGTTTTGTGGGATTAGTTTGTAACCAGGTGCATTTTTCATCCATGAACACCTACCCTTTACCCTTTCACTCCCAGAAGTGATCAACACATAATTTCTCTTTACAGTATTAGTACAGTATGAAGCAGACAAGTGATGAGAATAAAGAAAGATATCAATTGGGGGATTATCATTTGATCCAACACCAAACTTTTATAATTTCAAAAAAAATTATAAGGAATGTATGATTTTCATTATCCAAGGGGGAGTAAGAATAAAAGAAAAATTGGTGGTTTCTCCTCTAGCACCACTGGCAA